GGCACCACCTCGCATGGCTGCTGCTTACACACGCTTGGGGAAAGACGGACAGAAACCCACAGAAACAGGCGAGTTCGGGGTGGACACGCCGGGATTCCGGGAGCAGCCTGGTGAGTGCGAGCTGGGATAGAGAGCGCTGAGCACAGGCTGCGTCACTGTCAGAGGAAAGAGCTCCCCTCAAAGAGACACAGGGTTTGGTGCCTACTAAGTCAGGTCACTGGAGGATAACCAAGCTGCGTGTCTGCCTTCCAGTGCAGCTCAGCAGCTGAGCTTCCAGGGGGAAAAAAGATGCTTTTTGGTTTGTACTTAGCCTGTGGCTTCGAGAGAAAAGGTCTCCTTAGCCCAAGATACAGTGAAAGGTTTTATTGCGTTTATGATACTATCACTGGCCACAAATGCTGCCTTTCTTTCTGTACCTGAAGTGTCAACGGTGCGTGTGCCAGTTTCCACATCTCTCTCCTTCAGAATTTATGACCTAAATCAGGCAAAACCCCGAAGAGCTCTACAGGAGTGTGAGAAAATGGAGTGCAAGGAGAAAGAAAACGCTAGAGATGGTCAGAATGGTACCCAGGCATTTCAGCCCTATTTTGTCATCTGCGGCTGCATCAAGTGAATCTCTTTCTCTGGAGATGCTTAAAGCAATTACATTTGTTCTATTTATTCTCCCTCAAAGGCTTGGAGATGAGTCAACAGCAAGATCTTTTAGGAGGAGGAAATGGAAAGTTGAACGGGGCGATACCCCTGGGCAGTTGGTGCCGCAATCAAAGAGCGTTCTCCTCCTTTGTTGCTCCCAATCCCTAATTTAGGAACAAAAAGGAAAGAAAGAAAGAAAGAAAAAGCCACCACGGTAAGAGGCACGTCTGTGAGCACAGCCCCTTTCCTTCCTGCAGGCTCGAGGAGCTATTTCCAGACAATACAGAAATGTTTCCTGGAGTTCATTTCTGGTGAGAAAATTCCCTCAGCTCTTGTCAGGAAATCCCAGGTGAGAGCGGGAGCTCTCGGAGAGCCTTGCACCAGCTCACTCATGCACGGCTCATGCGTTAAAAGGGAAGAATAACTCCACATACCTCTTTGAAAGACTTCTTCACCTCCACTAATGGATGCCAGTGCGCAATGGGCTTGCGTGGGTACGCCAGCATCTCATTCCAGTGGTCTCTGCCCAGCCCTTCGGCATTGACCCCCACACGGCAAACCCCAATGATCTCGTTGTGACCCACTCTGAGGAGCAACAGAAAAGCAACAGGAGTGTCAGTCAGATCGGCTGTCCCCCAGCTGCGACTGCTGACCCTGCGTTGCTGGAGGGCCACAGGGCACGGTGCAGTGAAGACAGGCTGTGGGATCTGCACGGTGATGGTCAGATCCTGCTGCGGTCGGTGTGGGATGGTGGTTTGCAGGACAAGCAAATAGCGAAGGGGAACACAGTCTCGCTCAAGAAAATGCCATCACACAAAGGACCAGCTTTACCAGAGTTACTATTCTAGCAGGTAATTCTCCAGCACCATAAATATCAATGACACTTGAACAATAAATCACTAGACACAGATTGATGCTGCAGAGCCGTGCAGTCAAGGCCCTGATACTAAGGTAAATGGCTATTGAACAGGAAAACCTGCATCCAATGGGATGTTTTCCTCTCCAGCTCCCCAGAGCCTCCCACCTACCGATCGTAATCCATGACAGAGATGAGCAGACTGACTTGATCCATGTTCTCTGGGGGAATGTCAAAGATTATTGCTTCATTGTAAGTTGGATTAAGTGTGTTTTTCTTGATGGTGGTTTTCTTCTTTTTCAGTCTTCGCCCATCACAGAGCAAAGACACTTTGACGTATGGATCTGGGGAAGAAGAGATAGGAGAAGGCGTTCTGTTTATGGAGGTTGCTTTTGTTACCACCACCATGTAGAAACAGCATTATCAAAGGGTGACTGTAAGTCACCATGAGCAAAAGGCACCCCTCAAATGTGCATTTAGAAAAAGGGATGTCTGGGTATTGGCTGAATCCACCACTGCTTGTACTGGTGCGAGTGGCGATGGGAGGTCCAGGCCCCGGAGAACCAGCCATGCAGACTCCTTGGAAGGACAAATCAGCCACTTCCATCAGTTTTTCTGTGACAAGGGTCTGCAAGTGTAAGGAGGCCCCATCTCAAACCAAGAGCCAACATCCATCAGAAGATGATGATGGGCACTCAGGCATTTGAGCTTGCTTCAATTGCATGGCCACAGACAGCAAACCAGTGCTTTCACTACGCAAAACCAGAACTTGTCTAAATTTGCCTAAGAGAGCACAATATAATACAGCATTTTGACAATCCAAACTTTCCCAGGGATCCTTCCAGAACTATCCAATTGCTAACATTGTATAGCAGAGTTGCAGTAAGGGAAAAATTTAAAGCCCATTATCCCAATGTCAAAGAGCAGAAAAGGTATTAGAGCAGCTCTGCTTCACAAGCTTCCCACTGGCTGATGATGGCAGAATGCCCTTAAGTCACAAATAGCTCCTGTTTGCTGTAAGGGCTGCTCAGGCCATTTCAATGCATTTCAAGTACCAGTAAACGTGCAATGTATTCTGGCAGAAACACTGAACTGGCTGAATCTGAAGTCTCAATTCTCAGACATTTCAGATGGGATCAAGCTCTGACTGTGTAGAAACATCGAATGCAAAAGTCTCTTACCACATTGTTAGTGCTTTTTGTACAAGTCATCAATTAAATTCAAATACTGTGATGGTGATCTCTGGAAAAGAAATTGCTTTTTTATGTTGAAATCCAGCATTGGTGCATGCTGAAGTTGCAAGCAGACTCTTGGGAACTGAGAATGCAGACAGTCTTCAGGTGACTTTGATCCTAACGTTTGAGTACTGGTCACTGCGCAGGGGAAGGTATAGTCGTGCAGGATTTATCCATGGTCCTTTCCTAATCTTGGGGTGAAGTGACTGATTCTGGCTAAAGGGGTTATTTGATGGAGAATTCCCTACTCACATAGAACTGATAGGGTCAGGATCTGCAACAGAGCTGAAGCGCCCAACCCAAAAGGTGTATCAGAGCTTTGACCCTGCAAACCCTTCAGCGAGGATGGGAAACCTGCTGGCAGTCTCCTTGAACAATGTATCCCTGTATATAACCACCTTCCCTACAGTCGTGCCTTTGGGAATGGGATTTAAGGATAATTCTACTTTTAAACTTTCATTCATACTTAAATGAATGGACAAAGCTTTGTTGGGTGTTTGTGCCATGATACAGCCTTAGCATCAAGAGACGTATGCCCACCATCCACTGAGGCTACCTTGAGGGAGAAGGAAGAAGTGTGGATGCTATGGGGTTCTTCTCAGCCACCCAGCACCTACCTGAGTACCCAGTGATATCCATAGCTTTGAGATTCCTGCATTTAATGACTGTTAAGGTGAGGCGACCTGCAGTTGGCAAATAACACAGGGAAAACATGATCTCTCCCAGGTCCACGCTTTCCTTTAACAAAGCAGAGAACACACGATATTGGAAATGTGCAAGGACGAGCTCACTGCCTCCACCCACCACCGTGATGCTTCGGGCAGGATTCACGCAGCACTCGCGCTGCAACAGGCTTTGCTCTCTTCTGTCATTTTGATGTGTTTGACTCTTCACTACTGGGAAGTGCTTCCAGAGTATCCCGACACTATTTGGCAAAAATTAATATAGAAACAGGAGAAAAAATGTGTGTCCAGGTGTTACAGCTTTAAATCATAGCTAAGGATCATTTTCCACTGCCTCGGTGGAGTGTGTGCTTCCAATTGCAGCATCACAGCTAATGCTCTCCTCTTTTTCTCCTCCATTGCTTATGCAGGAGTAAAGTGAGATCTAACACCAAAGGAAGGTCATTAGGAAATCACATCACTCTCAGGTCTTGCTTGACTGTACAGCAGGTATCCTCCAGTGCCAAGTGTGTGACACTGACATCTGCTTCCTCAGATGGAGGAGTGGAATACAAACACGGTGAGACCACAGGAAGGTGAGACCTTGTACACTGCAACAAATGCAACAAGTGACTTTCTAGGACAATCTAGTAATAGGGGTTTATGGACTTTGCTGGTGCCCAACATATGACCAGAGAACTCAGACGTCTCTGAGCAACACAGTGATTTCTCTGAAGCTGAGCATGAATTACCAGCTACTTACAGACCGGGGGGTCAGAGCTTTAAAACAGACGAAAACTATGAAGGGCCCCATTTAGTGGCAATTGAGCTTTTAGACTGTGACCTGCTTGGGCCACCAACCCCCTTGAGATGCCTTCAAAGAGCAAAAAAGTGCAGTACGAGGCATGTGTGTGTTTGTGTGTAAGCAGGGAATTAACCAGCAGGTGGCGCTCAGGAACGTTTGGTAGTTTCTGGATTACGCAGACCCCCAGTACAATTTACTCTTTTCGTGCCCCGTAACACAACGTTTATACACCGCTCTTAGCACCTCTTGTACATACAGCCTTATTTACTACACCTCCTAAAAGCCCATTCCATCATTGCCTTACTCATGGGAATTCAGGGGAAAACATCAAAAACCCAACCCAGAAATACTCTTTAAGCTAGAAAGCAGGAACATCTGAAGTCAGCAGAAAGACTCCCAAACACCCCCCAAAAATGAATTAAAGGAAATTATCTTAATTTGTACATACAGATCCCACATCTGTAGAGCAAACAACCAGTCTATTTTTGGAAAGAGAGTGTTTGATTCATTTCAATGGCATATAATGATCTGCTGAAAAGAAATTGCAGCTCTTAGTAGTAGAGTGATGGAACTAGAAAGACAAGTAAATGCACTTAAAGCTTTGCTAAGTGTTAGGAGAATAGATCTCTTGATAGATGAGATTTGTGCCAAATTATTTCCTTCTCTGGTAAGGCAACGACGTGATATTTATTCCATGTGCAGAATACTGATGAACATCATAGAAAAGTCTTGGTTCTTGACAGGGCTTCACTTGACTAGAAACTGAATTAAGAATCTTCTCAAGCATAGAGTGCACTAAAGAAACAGCAGCAGCCGAGTGTTTTCTGGCCAGAACAAAGTGTGACGAGACTTGCAGCTAAATAAACCTTGTCTCCGAAAGCGCTATTTGCTGGTGAATAAGAACTTAACACTCTCACCCACTCGGGGTTCCTCCTCTGCTCCCTCGCTCTAAGGAGCCCACAGCATCCTAAACAGTTTGCCTTCCAACGTGACAAAATGATCTCAAGTCCCAGCCTCGCTGTCAGTAACCGCTAATGAAAGACGTGGAAGCATTTACTCAGTTATTATTCCTCTGCCTTTAGTACCTCTTGATGTGTCCGCCGGGAGGTGAATTTCTTGCTTCACAAAATATTACTAAAGACACCTTATGAAGGGACCAGGATCGTTTTCATCACACAAGAAATTGCTTTTAGAGCCCCTGCAGCTTCTCATTCGCAACTTCATTTCAGCTGCAGCATCTTGACTATAACGGGGGCTCCCGAGTCACGCTGCTGCCTGCGACTGCTGAGCACTCTGAAACCAGCTTTACCTCTGGTGTCCCTGCACCCAGCGCTGACCGGAGCCGTGGGCCTTGCTGCCTGGCTCCAATGTGGCCACTGTCAGAGGACAGGGAGCTGTGTTTGACAGAGCCTCCTTCATTCAGTGTCTGAGCACCCCGAAATAGAGCTGGAAGTGACAGTTTGCTTTTTAAAACCTGGCACTTGTTACCTTCAGAGGTGCTCGTCTCCACTGCAAAAAACCTGAAGAAATAACTCTGCGCTGAGGAGGCACTTTCCCAGCTTGAGGACTGGGATTGCACCTTTTCATAGAGCCACAGCCTGGTTTGGGTTGGGAAGGACCTTAAAGCTCCTCCAGCTCCAACCCCTGCCACGGGCAGGGACACCTTCCACTAGAGCAGGTTGCTCCAAGCCCCTGTGTCCAACCTGCCCTTGAACACTGCCAGGGATGGGGCAGCCACAGCTTCTCTGGGCACCCTGTGTTCACGTGTCTCCAGCTCCAGTCAGAAACTGCATCTACTGGTCCCCACCACAGACCTCACCGACATTAGACAAGAATTTAAAATACATATTCTGAAATGATGGTTAGAAAAAGCTGGTTTATTCTCAGAGAAACGAGCAGCTGAAGCTCACTGTGTGCTGGATGCTCTGAACACTGTTTCTGCAGCACAGTGCAGCAGCGCTTGGCATCCAGAGAACGCACTGGCTCTGTTCCTTCATCCATTCTTTGGTCTGTGTTGGTTTGGGAGGGACAAGGGCAGGAAACCTTGGACATAGATGTCAGCAGACAGCAGCCCTATATGGGACTGTGAGAGCACTCCCTGGACATCATCTCATCTCCTATTCCTCTCCTTGCACTGGGAGGACCTATTCAGAGTATAAAATGAACATAAATTGTTCTTTGACCTCATTGCATTAGGTTAAGAGATTTTTTTTTGCCACCATAAACACAGAAGAGTAAAACATGCCCTGTGGGTACATGATTTCCGTGCAGATTCTAGACACTGGGACATTTCCAACATTCATATCAGTCCTGCTTAGTGAATAATGGAAGCTCTCAATCAATACCCTCTGCAGATTTGAAACCAACAATGTTTCACTGATTCACAAGCTCTACACTCATCAATTCAATAGTTGAGTGCTAGCTATTTGAATAGCTTCTATCGTTGCCTAAGTGCGTCCCTATCTTCTAACCCACAAGATTGATCTAATGTATTATTACTCACCCAGAGCTTTCTTTGGGTATTATGAAAACTGTATTTACCCTTCTCATTTGTGATTAAACAGAAATGTCCTTGGGTATGTTAGAGCTGACTAAGATGTCCCAATATTGGCCCATTCCCAAAGAATGGCACAGGAAGAACGAGGGGACAGAGCCAAATGCGGCACTTGCCATTCCCGTGGGAGGTCTGCAAGGCTGTTGCACGATGCATCTTGGACATGCTGTTGGCTCTGCTCCTTTCACACCTTCTTTCTCCTCAGCAACCCTTCTGTTGGTGTCTCTCCCCCGGTTTGTGTCGGTTTTGTTTGGTTGGGTTTTTTCCCATTAAATTAATTTACTTCACTAGAAGAACATCCCAGCAAAACACAGAACACACCCAGGTTAAAAACCCCACAACCGGCTGCAGGGGGGTGGTTTCTGTGCTTTTCCTCTCGTCAGACCGAGCATCACCTTTTCCCAGTTCCATCCCTGCTCACAGGTCTTTCCCCCATCGGACTCCTCAGCGTTGCCACACTCTTTATATGCTCATTATGTAGCAAGGGAAGGCAAACGCCACGATTCCACCCCAGGGCACAGCACGGCCAGCCTGGCAGAGCTGAGACTCGGAGGCAGAGCACTTGCAAACAGGCAGATGCCCCCACAAGGCAACCACTTGTGTGATGCCCCTTGTTCCCAGCTGCCCTTTGCCAGGCGAACGATGTGCCAGATGCCTCTTTGCCAGTGTTTTTCCTTTCATTGCCATCCACTAAGCAAAAGAGACATGGCTGTTTGTGGACTGAAAGCCACGAGCTGTAAGTACCCTGCCACAGCACCACGCTGCTAAGGCATGATCCTCCGGAGCAGATACTCACCGTTGTCGCGTACTGGATGTCCTTCCAGATGGAAGTCTCCCGGGAAAGGTCTGAGGCCTCAAACAGGTTCTCCAGGATAACTTCTCCTATCATGTCGTGCCTGGAGAACCTGTCGAAGTCAAAGACACTCAGGTGGAGCTTCCTGCTCACCAGCTCCTCGTGGGGCACAGGGAAGTGGAAGGACTCATCGAAGGTGGGATTCAGAGTCTTCCTGTGCACTCGCGTCTGGAACTTGCGCTTTCTGTCAGGCAGGAGGTAGATCTTCACGTAGGGGTCGGAGCTGCCGCAGAAGTCTTTGGCTGGCAGGTCGAAGGCCCTGAGGATGCGGACACTCAGCGTCTCGGTCTCGTAGTCGTACTTGAGGGTGAAGTTGATTTTCCCACAGGTTTTTGCTGCCTCTTTTTTGGGGTCCTCAGAGTCAACAGATTTTTGCTTGTAGAGTTCAGGCTTAATGCGACCGATGCTGGTCGGCTGCTCAGCCACAGCCGGCGGGTCCATGCCGTAGTCCATGCTGGACACGTGCATCTGCCGAGGGAGGTGCCTTTTGAAGGAGATGTGCCTGCAGGAGGGACACAAAACAGCTCTGTGGCTTTCCAGGGGTGTTTCTCCCCTTTGCCTCTGCTCGCCAATGCTAACAAAGCCGGGAGAGCACGGAGCGCTGCTGCCTGCCGTACGGGAACCACGTGCGGTACGGCAGGGACCGCGGCGGGAACACCTCCAGCGCTCCCAGGAACCAGCCTGGCACACCTCGAACTTTCCAAGTATCTGCAACAAGGTGCATGTTTTCACCTGTTACATGAGTAACTGCAAACAGTTCAATATATGAGACCCAACAACTCCTTAACCAAGCCACAGGCAGTCCTCTGCGGAGACCCCCTTCCTCAGCCCTTACGCTTCCAAGAATCACAGAATCACAGAAAGTTACGTTTTATTCTATTCCAACAGACTCTTATCAGAAAAGGAGAGTGCCGTGGGTTAAGCCCACTGAACCCAGGACAGATAATTCTTGATGGGGACGAATGCAGAGCCTCATTTGGAAGCTGTCTCTTGCCTTGAGCTCCCCCTCAGCACAGGGAAACTGTATGTACCAAAGCTTTGTCTAAGCAAAGCATAAAAGCTTTCTGTGGGCTCGTGGCATTATTTCAGATGAGCTGGTATTTACAAGAGCAGTTGTACGGAGTCATTTAACCATACTAAGGAACTGTACAGCCAGAGCATTAGCCTCTGGTGGTACATGGTGCCTGGAGACCTCGCTTCTCCTTGGCAAGGTCCTCAAAGGCATTTTGGCCTGGGCTAAGCTGGGCTGTGAGTCAGAGGTCCCAGACCGCATCCCTGGGTCTGGCTGCCTGTCTGTGGTTCATGATGGGCTCTTTCACTTGAGAAAGTGGGTTTGAAACCTTCCCACGTACAACCAAGTCCCACTTTGTTTGTCCTGATTCAGACAGGTTGAGCTTTCTTCTCTTCCACTGGAAGCAGAGTGAGTTCGTGTATGACTGAGGAGCCACCAGCTGCCCCAAAGGCAGTGTAGCTAAATGAGAGTGTGTGGCACAGTTGCAGGAGGCACCGTGTCTGCTTTAACTCCAGCTTCTTCCAGCAGAAAGCTGTGACTGGGGCCTTATTAGTCCTGCAGTTCCACAGCCTGTTCTCTGAGCAGTGTCTGCCTGCACAGTCACACTCCCACATACAGCATGGGCCTGGCCAACAGAGCAAGCAGAAGTGCTGGGGGGCAGCCAGGAGCCTGCGATCACCCTTTCCTGTCCCACTTTCTCAGCCTTCTGTGTCAAGGAAAAGGCACTGTATCCCTCAGTGCTCCTGCCAAGTGTCCCAAGGTCTGTGCAGCCTTGTCCTGGCTTCTCCAGCGTGCTGCTGGCAGCTCTGTCCCTGGCTGAGATGGACCCGCACGGGCGCAGCTGGTTCTAGGCTTGTGCACCGAGTGATACGTCAGTTCTGCTGATCTAATTGTCGCTGCTGGGAGCCACAGCGATGAGGGGGAGCAGAGACGTCTAACTCAGCCTGACAGCACACACCACTGAGCACACCATCACTGAGATGTCAGCCTGACAGCACACCATCACTGAGCACACCATCACTGAGATGTCAGCCTGACAGCTCACCATCATTGAGCACACCAACACTGAGATGTCAGCCTGACAGCTCACCATCATTGAGCACACCATCACTGAGATGTCAGCCTGACAGCTCACCATCATTGAGCACACCATCACTGAGATGTCAGCCTGACAGCACACCATCACTGAGCACACCATCACTGAGATGTCAGCCTGACAGCACACCATCACTGAGCACACCATCACTGAGATGTCAGCCTGACAGCTCACCATCATTGAGCACACCAACACTGAGATGTCAGCCTGACAGCACACCATCACTGAGACTGAGCACACCATCACTGGGCACACCATCACTGAGACTTCAGCCTGCCTCTCATGTTCCAGCAAATCACAGCGGCCAAAGCGTTCCGACAGCTTGACACAATGAGGTCAGGTCACAGTAACAGGGATTGAATCCTGGGTGTTTTCAAAGGGACACCGTAGGCCAGTCTTAGCACCTTAATTGGTTAACAACAAGTAATCCAGCACGTAGGTGGGAGTGTTTTCTTTAACCACCCTGAAGGCATCCGACCCTCAGGCTCCATTAAACAGCCACCGCGAGGCGCAGCATCCCTGCAGAGCATCGCATCCCCGGCATTCAGCCAGAAGGCTCCAGGGACACCTTAGAGCAGCTCCAGTGCCTAAAGGGGCTCCAGGAAACCTGGAGAGGGGCTTTGGACCAGGGATGTAGGGACAGGACAAGGAGAATGACTTGAACCTGTCAGAGGGGAGATTGAGATGAGCTCTTGGGCAGAAGCTCTTCCCTGTGAG